GTGATGGACGAATAGACTCGTCATGGCTCGATTCCGGCAACACAAAACGGTTCACACTCTTAAACAAGGGCGCCACAGTTAACTGGTTAAGATAAAGGCATTCTTTTATGAAATATTATTTTCCTCATTGGTCGAAAATGAATGCTCTTTGATATTATATTTAAATATTTCCTTCGGTCTTCATTATGGTGTTCAAAGCATCATGTTTAAATATTATGCAAGTTTGCACTGCATCCATTTGTCCCACACGTTCATAGTTCAAGTGCATCTGACTATCTATTTATCCTGACTTTTTTAAAATCTTTTTTTTTTCTTTGTTTTTGTACTCGTTCTTTAAATTTCTCATTCTAAAAACCTCTCGGTTAAGTGAATCTTTTGTAAGCGCTTATTATCGAACCTCATTTATCCAGAAGGAGAATGAGCTATTTATAGTAACATTTCACCCTGTCTATTCCGAGAACAGAGACACTCTGGCGCTAGGTTCACTTAACAGTATTATATTTCGTTCATATTATAACTCAGAATGCACAAAATTTATATCATTTAAGAATTATCTCATCGTTGCCACATGTTCTATTCAAATACTATAATAAAGCTAGAACGAATTATAAAAAGAAATTAAGCAAACAAAACCAAAAAAGGAAACAGTTTTTCACAGACGATTGAGTATTTCTCATTCAATTAATTCAGTTCTCACTTCTCGACAAGGCAAAAATACATAAAAACTCAATATCTGTATTAAAAATTACGAAGTAAATCTTAAACACTTATTTCCTCGAAAACATTCCAGAAAGGATTAAGCATGATTTAATTCGCAATAATAAATGAAGGCGTTATCTTTGTTGTTGCGAAGCTACGTTTCTCTAGATTGGCAACAAATCCACTACTCTGCTGTTTCAAATGTAAACAAGCAATGGCCGCCATCAGTGCCCTTAGCGGCACTTAAACAACTTTTAAATTGTGCATAATTGTAAAAATTATGCATACAGATTTACTAAAGGCATAAAGACCTTAACCGGAAGATAAGAACAACATAATTCTATCATTTTTAAAGCAAAAAATGTACAAGCTAAGTTTTTCTAGATTGGCAACAAATCCACTATCCTGCTGTTTCAAATGTAAACAAGCAATGGCCCGCCATCAAGACAAGAATAAATGCTAAGCAAATTGTATGTATTACAATACATTCAAATGTTACGTAACACAATCTAAAATAGGGTTTGTATGTCTTTGATCTCTTTCTTACTACACTTATTAGTTGACATGTTACGCCACTATTTGGTGAGCTTATTACTCTTCCATGAGTTATTTCCTAATAAACAAATAAACGTTTTGTGCTTTTACATAACCTATAGTCACACTGCTCATCCGAATAAATTAAGCATTTATTTCAAAAGAATAAAAAGTTGGGAAAAAAAGAAAAAGAAGAGCAAATGATTGGTTTTCAGGATGATTCAATATTATTTTTCTCCAGCATTTCGGGTTAAGCGAAGTTTGACTGATCGCTCCAATGTCGGCTGTACTGATAACGCCGAGTTTAAAGATTAGACCTATTATTTTCCGAATATTTATTTTGATTTCAGTAGAAATTGAATACAATTTTGGCTTTAAAGTATTGCTTCAAATACGCAAATCTACTTGTTAAGTTTTTATAACTGCTGTACAACATTTTAGATGGAAAATTTTTATTTCACATATGTTAAAAATGGGAGGGTCTTCTTGCGCGATTCCTTGGCTTGGATAATCAATATCACATTAGTTGCTGTTACTCGAAGTGTAAATTGACACATAATAAAAATGCTTCAAATTATGATTTTTGTAAAATAACAGTGAACACAAAAGCATAAATTAAAATTATGGAAGTCTAGAAATGTACGGAAATATTAAGGACAAACTTTATACGAATTTTGAAAACTGAAGTAAGAAAGTGAAAAAAGGAAAATATATAATTGCCGCATGCGTACGAGAAAGGGCTTTTATACACGCACCTACTACACAATCAAATTAGGATAAACAAAATATCTATTATTAGCAAAAGAAAAAGTTGAGGAAAGTGTGACGACATATGCACACCTCGGACACACAGGTGCTTAATGAGAAGAACTTCTGTTTTGTTCAGAGACTAATTGACAGAGAACTTTGAGGAAAGGTGTAGCGGAAATCCCCTGGTATGGTTTCCGGACATAAGGGACAGTAATTACCTCATTCCAGGTATTTTTCCGACAATGTGTTGAATAAAACGAAATAGAGGATCTTTTGCGTAATCTTTTTATGTAATAAAAGACTAAGAAGACGCAATCCTGAGTCGTGGCTGCATCCAGCGGCCATTGTGTGAATATTGGCTGTAATGGTTGATTATGTTAATTGTTACTAATCTAGAATTTTTTATTAAGTTTTAAAATAAATATTTATAAGACAACAGTTCTTTTCTTTCACCCAACACGGGTGTTCAGACGTTACAGCTTTATTAAAATTGGTGGCAGCAGTACAAATAGAAATCCACGAAGTTACGAACATCAGTTCGAAAAAGAGAATACAGCTCATCGTTAAGCTGTGTGGATCGGAAATATCAAAATGAAATATTGTTATTAAATGTAATAATTTACATAATAAACATGATTAACTTTTCCCTTTCGAACTGTTAATGAAAGGTACATTTAGAAAAATTACTAAGAATGTTTACAAGATTATTAAGAGCACAAAGAAAAACATTTTCTGACATTACTCTTCTTTCACCCAATGGTCTACCAGCGCCCGAGTGGTAAAGTCGCTAAACACTGATAGCTCGGTCCTGGGTAAGAATCCTGATGAATGGGGTGGCTGCATGGGCGTTTTCCTGGTTTTTCCCATGTGTAACGTGTATATGAGCTATTTCCTTTAGAAAGTCCTCCACAAACGCATCCCCTTCCCTTAGGCAGCTAGCCCTCGTGTGCTTTGCCCTAATGATCTAAACCAAACCAAAACCCTTCTCCAACGCACATTTTCCATACAAGGCAGATTACGTGCATTTGTGCATCATTCACGTACTGCTTTAGGAGGATTAGTTAGCAATTTGTATGTGCAATAATAACACAGCCAGGGAATAATTAGTTGCTTATAAATTCCAGGATAAATAGCACACCATATATTAACATGCTAGGCGTTTACTAAGACTTGTTCATAATTGTTGACAGCTTTAATTCTCTTAGTCTTGATGCTCGTAATTATTTGTACAGAGTGTTTCTATAGAAATCCAATATTGAAAATTTTGCAGTTTTGAAGACGTTTAAAGAACTTTTTCAAGTGTTATACTCAATATTTTGAAGTTGACATTTAAAGAATTCTGGGAGGAAAAATATCTAAAGTGTGCAATATTTCAAAACAGAAATATATTTACACTATTATGTAAAAGTAAGGGACTAAAACAAATAAGCAGTATGAAGTTAATCCTTGTAATTGAAATATAAATCAGATTTGAAATAAAATCGATAAAAAGAAAAATATTTAGGGAAAAACAAACCGAGTGTGAAAATCTCTCCTTGGAGGATGAACACCACATAACTATACTTACCAGTTGAAATTTTTATTTTCCGTTCTCAATCAAAAAACCTTGCAAAAAAAGGGGGAAGGGAAAATAACATAATGAATACTGAGAAATATTTGAAAGAATATTACGAAGCATTATCTCAATTCTCTATTGATCATTCACGTTTAAAATACGCAATGGAATTTGTTTTTCGGATTGGATCTACTGATCCGCTGCAGTCAATATTCTTTTCTCCAGTCATCTGAATCCACAGATCCTAACCATATCTCACAGTTACAAGCAAGGTGTGATACTTTGCTCTCGTTAAAATAAAAACGAATGATATTGGAAATTATATCCTACATCTCGTTTGCCATTCAAATGGGGAGAAGCGAACAAATTTCTTTTCTTTTCTTGGAAAGAAATTTCATTTACGTGGCAGGTGCTAGAAATTGAATTCAAATTTCTACCGAAAGCGCTAGTTTATCCCAAGTAAACACATGTTTTACGTAATGTATGGCATCATCTTTTCCTTCTGTAAAGAATTTATCACTTAACTAAGCTGGTTGAGGTTTGGGTCCCTACATCAATCCCACCTGCGGATTCTAAGGCAAGTAATTCACGAATCTTTTCCCAGAAACCATTCTTTCACCACCAAGAGCACATATGGTGTATAAAGGCTGCGTTTCAGTCAGCGGCGTAAAGGGCATAAAGGCGTAGTCATAAGGACATAAAATACGGAAATTCCGTTCACACTTGCGAGAACGGGGTGTAAGCCGTGGCCAATGGCAGAAGCTACATTTGCGCATGCGTAGATGTGTCTACAACTTTTCGGCGCTGTTCTCCTGCTCGATTGACTTCCTGCGTTCGCTCTGCTTGTTTTGTGACAGCGAAATCTTCTGTAGAACGCCGCTTCGTTTTAGCTCCGTTCTGATGGGTCGACGCTTATCCCAAACTCGGCGTAAAGTTGAAAACTTTGAACCCTATGCCACGAGCCCTGAACTAGATTTTGTGACGTAGCACAGACTGGTTGCCTTGGCAACGGAGCTCGGCTTTAACCACTTTTGCCCTTTACACCACCGTCTGAACGAAACTTAAGAAATCCATGATGTTAGAAGAATATAAAATGGGTGGGAAGGGGAAAAAAGGCAGTTATATAGGCAGGAGCCGAAGACAAAAGAGAAACGAAACTATGGCAGGGAAGCGAATCAAACTAGCTGCAAGGGGGTGGAGGATGTACAGGCGCAGCTCTGACAAAGAATCTCTAAGGAGAAGAAGTAAAGGTTTCCCGAAGCAAATGTGGCTCCGCCAGACTGAAGAGACGCTCTGTGTATGTCCCTGAAGCTTATTTTAAAGGGGCAATCCATCCACCCTCCGTACCTTTCTGCGCATGTGCGAAATAGCAGGCAAGAAACCGGCATGTCGTCAGCCATATTAGCAATCTTTTACCACGTTGTTCGAAGAGGTTCATTGAAAGTTTTTTTCAATTCTTTTCTCTGGTTATTTAAGCTGATCATAAGATGGATGTTTCGCAAGGACGATCACCGGAATTCACCCGATTCTCTTTCTGTGAGGTAAGCTTGCTTTTTTAATTCGAAAACCTATCATAGATTTTTAAAAATTGATTTTGTATAGTACATTAATTTTGATTCCCAAGCTCCAAAAATATTTTGTCTCATTGTATCACACAGCAGCTAGATTTTCATTCTTAATATATTAACTTTGCATTTTAGCATATGAATCTCAATTTATATAATTAATCATATGGCAAACAAATACTATAGTTTTTTGCAGGCATATTGCTATTTCTTTCCAAATTTTTTTACTGAGTTTTAAGCTTTAAAGTCAACTAATAATAATATTACGACAAAACGAGCGATCAGGAATAAATTTGCCATTTATAATAATGCGGCAACTAATGGCATGTATGATTGCATAAATTAATTTTATTAATAAATTGTATTATGCTTCAGCTTTAAATTTATGCTATAATTACCAAATAATTTATCTGAGAAAATTTATAAACTTAGTTAATATTAGTGGCCACTGAAGACTATTTTTAATGTAGTATATTGATAGTTATATACAATTTTTCGTATTTTATGATTATTTTTGAAAATTTTATATTCATTATTATAAAAATATAATTTTGATTTCTCTCAATATTTGATGTGGTTTAGTGAATAACAGACTAACTCAATCTATCTTTTACTTAGCAAACAACCCAAATCCTGGTATCGCTGTAGTGTTTGTGGGACATCTCGAAAAACACCAGACAGGAAATTTTTCAGATTTCCTAAGGATCCTATTAGGTAAATCATTTCTAAGTTTAAAAGAAACTAAGCTTTGATAATTAATAATATATATATATCTCAATTTTTGATAGAGAAGCAAATATTTCATGTATTTGGAATAATTTAAATAAATAGCTTGTTTTTTTCCATTAAGTGTTCCTCATCATGGACAAATAGTTCAGTGTTCTTCTGTAAATATTCAAGATAACTGTGCTTGTGATACAGTTGCTCCCAAAAGTGTTCATACACTTTAAGAATTTGTAAAAAATGCGCTGTAGCCCGGAATTGAATTTGATTATAAAGCCCAATATTTTCTCATATCTCGAAGTGATTTTGAATAAAACCAAATTTTTTAAAAATTTTTTCTTCTAATATTTTAGAGGATAATTTTTGTAATTTATGTATTACAAGCTTGAATGCTGCAGGATATCCTACAAAAACTGACAGAAATTTAACTGCAATATTTCGTAATAGTGTCTGCAGATTTCTTTAAAGTGCACGAAGATTTTTGTGAGGTAACTTTTTTGTTACTTTTTAATTATTAATTCCCCCCCAAAGTTTTACTGTATTCTTATAATACTTTTATAGAGTTTTGCTAAGATAAATTTATAGATATTAAAAAATTCTCACAGCACTATTTCACTGAAACATAAGTGTACGAACACTTTAGGGAACCACTACATATTAGTGTGAATAAGGAAGGAAACATTTTAAAGATGCACTTTACGAACAATGTGTACTTTTTATTGGTGCCTTATCCTTTTTTTAGTCATATTGTTAACAAAACTGTACAAAGAAATGCTAAATTGTTTAACTAGATACTATGACCGGTAACTACAATTTAACACAATATCTGCAAAATTATTGGTTTTCGTACATCAAAATAAAATTAGATGAAATGCAATCGTTTCAGAATTTGTTACTAATGTAAAAGGAATTTTTTAACAAGGTTAAATTTCTAATAACACTGAAAAGAGGTTCTTTTAATTAAAGAAAATAAAATTTTTTTTTTTTGTTTTCATAGATCAAAATAATAGAGAATTAGTATAAATATGTCAGAAATGTAATAAATCATATTATGTACATGAATTTTTCCTTAAATTATAATTTAATGTTTGTTCTTAAAAAATATATAACCCTTCTCGAGATTGTGTAACTAATGTATAAGGAATGTTTTTAGTTTGCTATTTTTCTACTAACACTGAAAATGGATTTATTGAAATTTAAAATATAAAATTAATGTTTTCATTTTTATAGATCAAAACAATGGGCTCCCGCATGCAGTAATCAAGACTTGTTAAATATATCACCAACTAATTTGTATAAAACTGCACTAATATGTTCGTCACACTCCAAAGATCATGATTACTGTTCACCAAAGATGCGATATTTACATTCCTGTGCAGTGCCGACAAAATTTGAACAAACAGGTATCTACAATGTTTACTGTTATTATTTCAATATGCTTAACAATAGTGCCATCTAAGAAATAACTCATCAATAATAGTGGATCACCTGTCATGTTATGCTCAAAGAATACTGTGCAACAAAATTGATGGTTTGGATCGCCTGTCAAGACTTGTTAAATAAATCACCAACTGATTTGTATAAAACTGCACTAATATGTTCGTCACATTTCAAAGATCACGATTACTGTTCACCAAAGATGCGATATTTACATTCCTGTGCAGTGCTGACAAAATTTTGAACAAACAGGTATCTACATTGTTTATTGTTATTATTTCAATATGCTTAACAATAGCACTATCTAAGAAATAACTCGTCAATAATACTGGATCACCTGTCATGTTATGCTCAAAGAATACTGTGCAACAAAATTGATGGTTTGGATCGCCTGTCATGTTATGCTCAAAGAATGCTGTACAACAAAATTGACGGTTATTAGTCGAAATATTGACTGTTGATTTTTGGCAAAATTAAAATTATGTAAAATCCAAGCATACAGCATTTTTAGAATTATTATATGTATATTGAAGGTGGAAAATAGGCATTTCTTGCAATTGCTATTTAAAAGAATTAATTTCTAATTTCATAATTTGAAACAATCTTCATCAGGATGAGCTGCAGCAATATTTATTGGATTCAGTGGATTATTTACAAAACTTCTTAATACCTATAGGTTTGATTTTCAAGTTAAGTATTTAATCTTATATTAATAAATGTGAGAAGTATTGAATATTTTATGAACAAAAAGAATGAAATTAGTTATTTTAGTAATTTATGTGCAACTTATGTAAGACTTTTTAAATGTAATCTTGTATTTGTTAATTTAAGTGAAATGCTTTTGGCTTTTGGTTGCAAACTTTGCTCTTTTTTCATAATGGTCATTCCAAATAATTAAAATTTCTCTTTTTTTTTCTTCTTTAAAGTTGAGGTCAGATAATTGTAATGTATTTCAGTGTTTTCAATTTATTTAGGGGTACTTTTAATTGTTTTTAATTATTTTTTCTGTTTTGGTTAGTTATATGCAAATTTTGCTTGTAAAATTTTAAATATGGATTCATAAAAATTCATTATGTGTTGCATGGTATGTGTTTTCTTCTTTTTTAAGCTTACAGAATTAAATGTACTCATTGGTCAAATAATTCTTTATTAAATAGATTTTTGGCAAAATTAAAATTATGTAAAATCCAAGCCCAAGCATACAGCATTTTTAGAATTATTATATGTATAGTGAAGGTAGAAAGTAGGCATTTTTTGTAATTGCTACTTAAAAGAATTAAGTTCTAATTTCATAATTTGAAATAATCTTCATCAGGATGAGCTGCAAAAATATTTATTTGATTCAGTGGATTATTTACAAAACGGCTTAATACCTATAGGTTTGATTTTCAAGTTAAGTATTTAATCTTATATTAATAAATGTGAGAAGTATTGAATATTTTAAGGACCAAGAGAATGAAATTAGTTATTTTAATCATTTTTGTGCAACTTTTATAAGACATTTTAAATGTAATCTTGTATTTGTTAATTTAAGTGAAATGCTTTTGACTCTTTGTTTTCATAATAGTCATTCCAAATAATTAAAATTTCTTGGTAATTTTTTTTATTTTATTTTAATTTTTTTTTTTTTTTTTTTTTTTTTTTTTTTTTTGAGGTCAGATAATTATAATGAATTCAGTGTTTTCAATTTATTTAGGGGTACCTGTAATTGTTTTTAATTATTTTTTTTGTTTCAGTTAGTTATCATGCAAATTTTGCTCATAAAATTTTAAATATGGAGTTATAAAAATTTATTATGAATTATATGGTATGTGTTTCTTCTTTTTGAAGCTTACAGAATTAAATGTACTCATTGGTCGAATAATTCGGGATTAAATAGATTTTTGCAAAATTAAAATTATGTAAAATCCAAGCTACAGCATTTTTAGAATTATTATATGTATAGTGAAGATGGAAAATAGTCATTTTTGTAATTGCTATTTAAAAAAATCAATTTCTAATTTCATAATTTGAAATAATCTTCATCAGGATGAGCTGCAACAATATTTATTTGATTCAGTGGATTATTTATAAAATTTCTTCCCAGGTTTTAATAACACCTGGAAGGTTTGATTTTCAAGTTCAGTATTTAATCTTGTATTAATAAATGTAAGAAGTATTGAATATTTTATGAAAAAGTAATGAAATCACTTATTTTAATAATTTATGTGAAATTCTTTAAAAGGCCTTTTAAGTGTAATTTTGTATTTGTTAATTTAAGTGAAATGCTTTTGGTTCTTGGCTGCAAAATTTGCTCATTGTTTTCATAATGGTCATTCCAAATAATTGTCTAAAAAATGTCTTGGTATTTGTGAAGATGCTTAAAATTATTTTGCATATGTATATTCTAAAACTTGAGAAATGTCAATAAAAATCATTTTTTTTACCTCAAATGTGTTATTCTTTGTTTTAATATTTAATAATATGCTTGATATGAAAAGAAAAATAGCGTTATTTATGTAATTAATTGCAGATTTGTTAGAAATCTAACATCACAGCAGTAGTTAATTTTGTTTTCTATTAATTCTGATGTTAGTTATAAATTAATGCTAGATATTATATCAAAAGAATAACAATTCTGTGAGTTTACAGAAAGAAGAGTTAAGGGGTAAAATAAGGAATATAAAAATAATAAAATTTATTTATTTATTCATTTATTTTGCAATTGAATTTTAGGATGCTCTATGCGAAACATCTAGACGATTAAAGATTAGAAGATAAAAGATCAGCTACACAATTTATCTGAAATGTATGAAAATAAAACATTTTGAGGAATTTCAAAGTAAAAAAAAATTACTATCTCCTCGGACTGCGCTATTTAAATTCCACCCTGCGCTGCTGTTTCACTGCATAGCAGCCGTGGCTCCTCGATATAGCGGCGCAGAGGCGAAACAAGTTTACATTGCGTCTATGGAAGCTTTCATTCTTTTCCTTACAGATTCTTTGGCTCTGATTCAACAGTGCGACATTATAATCTCGGGGCCAAATCCTCTCTGATAAATGGTGAAATCTGGGCCCTGTGAGTAACTGAGAACTCCCAATGCTACCTAACATCCAGCCTGATAGGGATCGGATCTAAAATAGTGAGCCCGCCTGCTTGGACGAAAGGACCTGCCATACTGCATGAGCTAAGGTATATATCCGATACCCTGCCCAAAAAAGTTGTTTTGAAAGACGCCAAGAAGCGCCAACGTTTTTGTACATTGGCAAACGGAATTTGTAACATTGAAATTTCTGATGCCTGTTAATAAAATGACTTTCAATGAATAGTTAAGAATTAAATCCAAAAGTAAGTTTTTACAGTTTGCGAGTAAAACTCCGTTTTTTCCTTTTAATTTTCATTTACTTGTTTATTAATGAGTTGTAATAGAAACATTAGAGGTACCTGCTAGGAGAAAAGTTTTTATTTCCAACAGAAATTCAAGTGATATTTTGGGTTCTTCTTGAAATTACTTGTTTACAAATCTAATTCCCATTAAAAAGAATTTGATTTAAACTCTTGACGATAGCATGCTCTTGTTAGAATACGTCAAATCACTGACCACGGAAAAAGACTTTTAGCTATTCTATAGGGTATTTTCTCCCTCTTTCCCGCATGCGTCGGGGTGTAATAGGAAGCATAGTGGAAGCATATTTCAGAGGTTCGAGTCCCGATGAGGGCATGTTACATTTTCCACGTCTTCTGCTTCGAATGACTCTATAATTCATAGATAACTTTCGATTAACTCATTAAATTTACATTTCCATCAAGGTTCTTATTAAAATTTTACCTATTTCCTCATTAATTGTAAATAATTATATTTTCCGGAATTTTCCGGAAAATTCCAATCGTGATTTTAGCTAATGAGCACTTAGAAACAATTTCGCTGCTAAAGTGCAAAATCATCCACTTATTTGTTTGGCGCTTTTTACAAGAGTAAGAAGAATTGGATTTTTCTCAATTTTCTTTGACTTTTTAAGTAAAAATAGGTCGACGTGTACATAGATAAAGTCAAAAGTGTGCGCAATGCCATTTTTGTGCAATTCTGGGATTAAGTGAAAATAGGTCGACGTGTACATGGATACCGTGTATGTGTAATTCTTAAAAACGCGGCAAGCAGTTTGCGATTCTGAACTTTCTTCTCCCAATTTCGCACCTAATCTTCGTCATGATTAAGCATTTTTGTTCCATAAAAGTCCTAGTATAAGCGTAATTCGGCTAGCAGATTGTTGGGAAAAATGTTGAGAAAAAAAAAAAAAAGCCTTTACTTCGTGAAAACAAAATGGCGTCCAAAACAAAACTAGCAGGTTGCTGTAGCAGGGTTGGTCGCCAAAAAATCGCCAAGTTACCATAATGTAAAGATTAACCGAATTTTTTATGCCGACACTCTTTTTCCCATCTTTTCCCGAAAGCAGGCGCGCTTTCCGCAAATAAACGGAGTTGGAATAAGACACGGATTGCGAGGAAGGGTGAACCATTTGTAGTCTCACGACTTTTAAAGCTTAATGTGCAGAATCTGCATGGCCTTTACATGCAATGTCTTTTCCCTTTCATCCGATTTTAGAACCCCGAAAACGCAGAACAGACTTTAGAATGTTTTCGAAAAGTTAATACATCGCTAATGTTATTTTAACAGATGGCTCCAAGTTTCAAATAAGTTACGTTCAGGTTGTCGTAAACTTCGAAAAGTAACTATTTCCGATACATATCTTATTTGATACTGCTTCTAAATTGAAATCCTTTCTCCTGCGTTTTCCTCACATAAAATTCGTTCACATATACTCAATAGTACAATAAGTTATATATTTAAAATTAATTGCGTGACTTTTTTTAATAAAAGAATTTTTAACACCTCGGCAAGTTATAATTTTCCTCCATTAACCTTGAAATCCTATCCGTTACAAATAAAGATTAGAAACGCCAAAAACACGTTGCTGCCAATCGAGGATCAGTTTTCAGCAAATGTTATTTTACACTCATGTCCATAAATTAAGGATAATTCGGAGTCACGCGGAAATCGAACTCTAAAATAAATATATCACCTGTAAAATTACTACACACATCTTCAAGAATCATATGCAAATTTCAGGAAGTAACCAGATGACACCGATGGTACGTCAATATGACGAGAGTGTAAGAGAGTGATGTATAAGGAATACAGGCAAAGAAGTAAAATTGTTCGCATGCGCTTTATAGGCATTTCAGTGCAATAACCGAATAGTTAAGACACAA